GACATTTCTTTATTCTTACTATTCATTTTAGGAGTCAACTATCCATTTAATTTGTGTGATATACAACTCTAAAAAAGTTAGTTCTGATAAATACAGATTATCAAAATAGTGTATAAAGTTAAATCAAACTTACCCACTCCCATCGTTAGCAGTGGTGCAGGATCTCAAAGTTTCAGAGTTGATAATTCCACAACTGTGCTATATGTTTGTGAGAGTATAAGTGAGAGAGAAGTTTGGGTGTTTACATGGAGCTCCTTAAACTCTGGAGTGAATGCAAATCAGTAAAACAGGGAGGAGAGAGAGAGAGAGAGAGAGAGAGAGAGAGAGAGAGAGAGAGAGAGAGAGAGGAGAGAGAGAGAGAGAGAGAGAGAGAGAGAGAGAGAGAAGAGAGAGAGAGAGAGAGAGAGAGAGAGAGAGAGAGAGAGAGAGAGAGTGCATGTGCTTCGCAAGTAACGACCTTCAAACCCTTTGCTCTGACCTGTCTTATCCAGTAAACCTCAAAACACACACATAAACACAAGCCTTTGGGCATTTCTTAATATCTAACCATTGAGGCAGTGGTGAATGTGCCCTTGCAATAGGCTGACAAGGTCACTGAAGCTCATGAGAAAGAGGCAGGACCATGAGAGACCGATTCAATCTCTGAAGGCCAAATAATCTGCTATAAAATAATAAAAAAACATAAATAAGATAAACTCATGATGTTAACTCAAAAAAATATTTACATGTATTTAAATGATTTATATAATATGATGTATTTTGTAATATACATGAAAATTATGTTGACAAATTACATTGAGATTTCAGAAGGACAGTCCGTTTATCTGTTAGTTCTATTTCAGTGGGTAGTTAAAAATTAATCTGCAATTTTCTAAAGAACAAATAAAAAAGTGTAGAACAAATGCATAACTAATTACTTCAGTTTCCAGTGGGTGTATTCATAAAACCAACAGATTGCTTCAGCAGTTATCTCTTGTTTTTTAAATAATTGCAAGTGGAAAATAATAACTCTTAAGTCGCTCCTCTCTTCTGTCCACATACAGCAAGTGTGAGTTTACTCTCTTTCACTTTAATAAGCTGGAAGATAAATCTATCAGAGTATAAAAAGGGACCACGTCAGGTATTCTTTGTAAAGTTAATGATTATGATTATGTTAAAAGAACCTGCTAACTTTCATCTTTTCAGAGAGGAAAGAATTTGTCTTCAAGGACAGTCATTTTAATTTTCGGCAAATGTTGGCTGAGAAGCTCAAATAAAACCATAAAAGCCTGCAGTTTTACTCTCAGAGTGGAGGACACTTCTGTTCAATATGCAGTTCCACTGTCTGTACAATTAAAAAGGCAGTAAACGTTTTTGAAACTCTTTTCATAGCATTTATTCTTAGGAAACAGTAGTTGATGACCTCCTCAGAACATAATACACAATATCCATCCAGAGAGAACTGTATTGCTTAAATGTTCTTGTATTTTGTTCCTAAACAGTAATGTAGTCTATGTTTTAATCAAGAACATTTATATCTCCAGAATAAAATAAATCTTATTTACAAAAGGATTAAAACTCTTTGGATCTTCATAATTTAAATAATACATTTAGAATGTTACAGAAATATATATTTACTGCAGAAGTACATGTCACGTGTACAGTTTCACCTTAAATAATGAGAAAACATCTTTCAGTAAATAAGAATAATTCTGTGCAAAATGTTGTCAAATCTGTGATGTATATGCAGCTGAGTAGAGTTAGCCTATTTGTTCTTCAAGGTCGCAGAAGGTCATGGTCGCTCTTGCTGTAATAAGGAAACAGAGAGAAGGATAAAAAAGAGAAAAAGAAATAAAAGTATGTAAAACTCACACTGTTTTGTGTCAGTATGTTCATGTACATTTAATATCAGTGTATTTAAATATGTGTGTGTGCACTTAAATATGCAAAAGCAGTGTGTTTTTACCTGCATCTTGCCATATATCCACATTAAAAGTCTCCCAACGTTACTGTAGACCCCTGGACGGTTCTGCTTTCCACAGCCTTCTCCCTAACTTGTTACACCTGTGAGATACCACTGATCATCAGCTTTACACACCAATGGACCCCCACTGTCGCCCTGGAGAGAGAGATCGAAAAGTGAGGAAGAAGAAGAAATTATACAAAAAAAAGCATTAACTAAACATCAAGGGCGTGGGTTTGATGTTGACATTAGAGAGACCCTCGACCCCATATTTTCTGCACTTATGATAGACTTTTTAACAAAGGTTTTTTCAACACACAGCTTCTGAAACTAGACCAGTGATGTTATGGCGGAGTATGTGTTTAAGACCACATGCCCTGTCGTTCTGAAGGTTCGGTGGAAGGGCTTTATGTGTTGGTGCGTTATGGTAGATAACTGCCTCCCTACAGGAGGGTTCAGCAGGCACCTCCTTAAAGAGCATTTCTATGTATTAGGGTTGAAGTTGCCTCCCCCTAATGGCAGGTTCCTTAAGTAGGCAGCTCCCTTATGTTTTCATGAAGTTGTGGCTGCCTCCCCAGATGCTGGGTCCCTAAGCAGGCGGCCCATTCACGAACCTTGGCAACAAATTAAGGGTTCCTTGAGTAGGCAGCTCCCTTATGCCTTGCGAAGCATGAAGTTATTGCCAAGGTGAGGCTGTGCAACGAGTGCACCTTCCCCATTATTGGTTCTATGCAAGGTCCTTGTCACAGCTTCTGAGCACTCACGATCTCCAAGGTAAGGGGAGCTCATGTATGAGCATGTTGCCCCCTTTTGATTATCATGGGCAGCTGCCTCCTTCAAGTTTTTGGCAGGCGGCTGCCTTTTTCTAGTATGCTAAAGTTCAACGTTGTAGATGCCTCTCCCTATCGGGATCTTAAGTAGGTAGCTCCCTTGTGGCAATGAAGTCGTAGCTGCCTCCCGCAGAGCTGGGGTCCCTTAAGCAGGAGGTTCCTTTATTTATCCAGAGGGAACTGCCCCCCTTTTTGGAGTTTTTTATAGGCAATTTCCCGAAACAAACTTTAGCATACTCACAGGGTCGTAGCTGCCTCCCCTATTTGGGTTACAAAGTAGACGGCTCCCTTGTATAAGCAGTGAAGTAGAAAGAGCCTTCCCCACTTGGGGTCTACCCAAGCAGGCAGTTTCCTTGTGTGCACCGGAGATTTTTAATGTGGTCGAGCTTGGGCCTCCGCCTTGAGGTCTGTGAGTAGGTCCTCTGCTCCCACAAGTGAGCTTGAGATGATCCCCAGACTACAAGAGTATTTTGTGGAGGGTACCCTCCCAGCTTTTGGGATACCTTTCTTTCACATTTTTTTCCAGCTCAGGCAGACCTTGGTCCACAGCTTTACTACAGCTTTTTATTGTAACCGTTTCTAGTTTCCTCTAGTGGGTATAGTTCCCTTCCTCATATGTATTTTTAGGGTCCTAGCCTAGTCTAATCTGCGGATCACAGTCCTGGGTGAGGATTGGACTCCTCTCGATCGAGGGTATTTCTGTTGAGTTCTCGGCTTCCCAGAAACCCTAACTCTGGCCCTGGTGAGAAGCGACTTTTTGCCTGAGAGTTCCTTCTCTGGTTGAACACTCTTATTTCAGGAGTGCTGGCTGTGCAAGATACTGACCTTAGGTCAGGCAGGCTAGCTCCCTTTTGTATTCCTGAAGCTGCAGCTGTCTCCCACATGCTGGGTTTTACAAGCAGACAGTCCCTTCATAAGTTTATACCAAGGTCGAAGCTGTCTCCCCCTGATTGCGGGTCCCTTAAGTATTCAGCTCCCTTAGGTTATGAGTGACAGGTGAGGAAACCATTGTTTTCCTTTTCTGTATTTCCTTGAAGATAATGTCTAGAATAGAGGCTAGCAATACCAGACCTTTGAGCTCCACCTGTCTAAATGAAGAAGGCTTGGAGCTTGGGTGGTGGCCATTGGGAATAATGTAATTTAACAACATTAAGTTAAAGTTAAAGAGGGTAAACTTTATCATTCAGCTGAACTGTATATATATATTTAAACACTTACCGCATGTTCTCATTTCATGCATTAAATGCACATCCTTGAAAGAGAGCATGCAGTTTTCTAATATATTTGACTTCTCAGGTAATGTCAATGGCATATGACCCATTTCAGATGCGTCCAAAATTACAACAAAAGTGGTTGCATATAACATATATTTTAATTGTTTGATAAAAATTATTGCTAGGGACAATTCAGTAGCCGCTGGATATTGGTAGGTCCCTAGCGTCCTTACTAAATGACACCCTTGCACATTAACTACTAAAGCATTATGCATTGAGCACTACAAAGTTTAAATTGCAATATCATATTTTACCAAAAGGTGGCAGTATTTGCATGCAAAGACAGCAAGCTTCTGACCATGAGAATGTATCTAACCTGGCAGGAGTCTCTCCCTCCATTAAGATCCCCTGCACACTGCATGTTCTCTGTGATACTTCCGCGATAAAAAGTATTTGAGTTGCACAGAGATGAGACTATCAGGTCTACTTTGACCTCCATCAAAGAAGTGGAACTACTCGCTGCGAACACACATGTGGAGAGAGGCCAGCATTATTAATAGCCTACATGCAAACTCAGACAACAAAAAATACATACACAATTACACATACATACCAGCCCCTTCCCGGGTAACTCCAAAACCAGTAGTCCAGCACTGCTGGGCAGGAGAAAATGTCTGGCCAAACACAGGCAGGCAGATAGGCTGTATATTACCTTTAACAGTATGTACAAAACATGTCAGTGGTCATAAATGCCTCGACTTATATGTATGGCAATTTAGCAACAGAATTATATACTTTAAGCTATGACGTGCATCATATAATGTTCTTGATTAATAAATGTGACTTTGTGTGTGTTTGTGTCTGTGTACAAACTCACTGGCAGGTGTATTGAGTTTTAGCAAGGCAATGTCATTGTTTTTTGTCACTGGGTCATAATTCTCATGTAAAATTATTTGCTTTACATAATATGGGCTGGGAAGCCGGAGCTGGGACACCAAACCAATATACACTTTCCAGTTACTAGGCAACTGAGAGTCTTGTGTTTCTCTAAGAAAAGGGGAAAAAAGCTCATTCATTCATCTGTTCATCCATCCATGTTTTTTGGAAATTGTTAGCTAATGTATTCATTAATCTGAATTATTACAAGCTACAATATTGTTTCAAACATGTAAACTAGTCATCAAATCTTCTATCCATCCATCTAATGTAATGTATACTGACTTGGGGAAGCAGTGAGCAGCGGTAATGATGAAGTCTGGAGCCAACAGAGTTCCTCCACATGTGTGATGCCCTTGGAAATGCAGGCTGGCCTGCCAGGGCCACTGACCGTCAGCAGCCACACTTCCCCCAATGATTCTTGTGGAGACGGGTGGCTTTCCACATTCTGAAAAGAGAAAGAACAGGAGGGAAAGGAAGAGGGTGTTTATACTTAGATAGCATTATCATGTGGCAATAACATGTAGCAACAGTGTATAGGGTACTCACTGCTGCAGTGCAAGGACACGGTCTGCTGACCAGGACAGGACGTACTACAATTAAAACAACATTGTTACACACACAATTGAGACCAAGAGTATTTCTGTTTTTTTGGATTTTTTTTACGCCTTTCTGCTTCTAATTACACTGAATTATTCATTTGGTTACTCTTTATTTTAAGGTATCCATGCTACAGTGTAATTATAGATTGAAGTACTGAGTAATAATAATTAACTACATCATGCACTTACTATAGGGTTAGGGTGTGGTTTAGGTTAGTTGCATGTAATTAAGCACAATTTATAGTAATTACTCTAGTGACTGCATGTAATGTGTGTAACAAAGACACTGTAAAATAAAGTGTTACCATACATTTTATACTTTTATTATGTATTGCCATATCCACAGTGCATTTTAAAATAATTTATGGCATTCTTTGATTGCAGATGGAGAAATTAAGTTTATTCATTCTGTTTACACCGACAAGACAGGAAAAAAAGAAAATTGTATAGTTACATTTGGCCGAATTGGTTCGTATCTCATTCGTACGTTTTCATATCATCTGCTTACGACCCAGAGCTAGGTTAGGGGGTGGACCTCCATGATTACCTTTTTTTTTCTCCCAAAAAACATACGTTGTCATACAAATCACATTTTGTGAATATCTATGAAATTGACAGCTCGTAAAATATGTATGTTTTGTCATGAAATCAGGTATAATCTGTTGTTTTTTCAGGGCTATTGAAATTTTTGCCTTAATATTAATATATCAATATACAATTTATTAGACAGTATTTAAATAAACGACAGCAAATGCTTCCCATTGACTATACATTTATCCAATGGCAAATACAAATTTTGTAATTGAGTTTTGTAAGGCCATAAAATTAGGTACTTAGCATTATTAGCATCAAAGGCACTGATTGCCATAACTTTATCTCTCTTTTTTATTGTTTTTGTTCTCTGTAGCTCATACTAGTTTTTTTCTGCTTGAACTTTTCTGCTTACATTGTTTTTTCAGCAGTAAATTATGCTAGTTTCTGTTTTTTTTATAATAATTTTTTACCTTCTATTAACGCTTCCCTGGATGGTGTTTGTAAACTGACTGTTCATACTTTGAAAGGAGGATGAGTTGGTTAGCAAGACACCATCTGAAACCATCCTGTGGAGCACATAAACCAAAACACACATGAATACAAATTCATACATAGATCCTCAATATTATCTAATGCTTGCTTGTGATTCAACGCCATGCCAGCTTCCATGGCTATTTTCATTGTGAAAACCAGGTTAAATGTAATAAACGAACATACAGTGATAGAGATTTGGGGGGAAAATCTATCTTTGATGAAAAATTCTATAACTGAATCTGAACTGACTTTGTAGAAAACCTTTTTAAATAGTCAATGTCGTGTAATGTGTGCTGTGCTTGTGTGTGTGTGTGTGTGTGTGTGTATTATACTTACTGTCTGAAGCCAAGCTGTTGGCAGGTTTGGTCAGCTATGTTTTTATTCCAGCCCTGTGCGCAGACTGGAAGGAAGACCCTGGACTTAAAGGTCATGACCTGCAATTCATTTGCTGTCCCAAACCGTACTATAGAAAGATTAAAGGCAAATCAGTGTGCTGCTATCAGAATATCAACCATATATGATTTCCAAATAAAAAGAGATTTTAAAAAGTCACTTTGTTATTGACATATATTTCTGTGTGATTGACACTGACCACAGCGAGATTCATCACTGCCTTGAGAACAGTCTCTCTTCCCATCACAGTCAACTGATGAAGGGGGGCATGTCTCTGTCTCCTTCGTGCTCTTGGAGAGAGCCCACAGTGTCGGCCCGTAACGGACTGTGCAGGAGTTGAAAAATGAGTTTAAAAGACTTGTGAAAATTTATGTTACTGTAGTTATGTAAGCGTTTAAGCTTTTAGGTGAATACTGAATACAATTCACACAACCCAAACTACAGTATTTAATGTTCTGGGCACAACTGTTTATATGACTACATTACATACATACATACGTTAAAATATATGCTTACCTCCCAGCCATATGGCGATTACAACCAGCACTACTACAACAGTAGCACCACTAGACCCTCCATAGCAACACCTTTTGCTCTTGCAGAGAACTTGCCTTCTCTGTGACGGGACTGCAAAAAGCAAACAAAAATGGCCATCGGCAGTCTAAGATTATTTATTGCCTAATTTATTTTTTAATGACCATGTTTTAAGACCTATATGTGTATAGTTAGTGTGTGTTATTAAGTATTACTTGTCTCTGCTACACGAGGAGCAGGTGTTTGGGGTATTGGCTGGGCAATGTGGCACGGCTGGATTTGGTTGGCCGACAATGTCTGAAGACTTGGATATGAAGGTGGAGCTGTGTTGTGATTCACCACAGAGTCATATGAGGGTGGAGCCTCAGTCTGTATTCATAAAAATATAAATGCAAGATATTTACAAAGGAGCCTTTAAGGGAATACATATCTCTATAAACACTGTTCGCTCTCATCTGTCATCCAATTAAATTCACTGTAAACAACTTTACTGCCAATGAGATTTCAAATAAATTGTTTATACATTTATGATAAGTCTTATATTCAAGGCCCTGCTTTATGCAGTGGGATTGCTTTTCTTTTGAACAAGGACAGATTTCACCTTACAGTAAAACAGTCACGGAGTAATTATTTGTCATATGTTAGTAAATGTATTAGCCTACCACATTATATTGTCATAATTTATGTACAATTATAATTTTAATGTTATGTTCAAATGATCACATTATTGACCAAATCAATTTTAGAACATTATTCAAACATTTGAATCCTCATTTCTAGTAAATTAGAGAGTGTGTGTGCGCGTGCGCGCGTGTGTGTGTGTGTGTGTGTGTGTGTGATGCAGATTTTTCTGATACAAATTTGGACTGGGGGATTACCATTACCATGCGAGACACCAAAATGCCCATTTTACTTTTTTTGGTCTTGCCTGTTCAAATGTGTGAGCATGCAATGAACCTCTTGCACATGACAGCATATATTTGTTTAAGCCCACATATTAGCAGTTTATGATATGTACACCTGCATAGCTGCACATATTGAGTACACAGTATAGATTCAACATTAAGCCTATTTTTGCCACACATAGTTCACTGAACCCAGCAGAAAATGTTTTGAAAAGCCTCATAAATCTATTTATCAACACAGTCTTTTGCAAAATAAACTTTTATGAAGCAACTAAAATACTGGAGTGAAAAAAATCTCAGCCAGGTCTGACGCATCTTTTTCGGTAACACTTGACCCATTAATAATAACTCTTTAAAAAAAAAAAACTTCCTACTGTGCTGGACTAACTGGGACACAGCACTTGCATATTGTTGCCCTATTGTTAGTTTGATTGCTTCTATTGCTCTCCTCATTTGTAAGTCGCTTTGGATAAAATCGTCTGCTAAATGATTAAATGTAAATGTAATGTTACACCAACAGGCACCTATAGTCTGACTAAATCCAGATGATTGAAATAGTTTATTGTGTATCTGTTCTCTGTATTTCAATTCATAGAACAATCTGTAATAATTGTTTAATGAGTGATACCTTAAATGCTGATTTTAAACACAGTGTTGTTACTAGGATTGATCTGTGAGGTTCAGAATCTGCCTTTCCTTCTTAAGGTATGTTGCAGATCTTATTCTCTCTAACAGCACCCAGTTGGAACATGTTATTTATAATACACAGTGAATCATTCACTTGGTTGCGTAATATGCCTCATTTTTATATTACACCTATAGAATATAACTTTTCTGTAACCAATTATGTTACTAATTCTATTAAAACTAAAACAAATGGAGTTAGAATGTATATAGTTAATAATTAGTACAGGTCCCTTGGATAAAAGTCAGCTAATCCAATTGCTAATTAGGACACAATACCACGACAACTGTAGTGCTATAGAAGCTAGTCACTAAGAGAAAAACATTACAGCAATAAGAACATGATACTAATACAATTTCAGTGCCAGTCACTCATCCTTTACAATAATATATTAACAAAACAACAAAACCACAGTCACATCAAAAATGCCCACAAAAAGAACTAATCACTAATTAAAAATACAAGGGAAATATTGATATGTTTGTATCTATGTTTGCTTTGGAAATATTTAGTTAATTATTAAAGTAGGCTATTCATACCTGTCTGTGCTCCATGTGATTATCCGTTAAAATAGATTGGGTAGACTCTACCTGTACTTGTGTTTATTCTCTGTCATGCACAGTACAACTACATCATCAGAGCAGGACAAACCCTGAGTAACTCATGTCTTCCTCTCCCTCTCTCTCTTTCTCCTGTTTAACTGGTTTTACAGGCAGCCATTCAATGTTTCTTAACATGTCCATAGAAACATTGTAGTGCAGATACACATGCAGAGAACAGAATTTTCCATCAACTGCTTTCATCATAAATGAAAGCTCAACAGAAATTGGGAAACAGGAAACTATTGCTTAATTGATGGTATCAGATTGTCATTCTCCATCACACAAGTATGTTTACCCATATTTCACATTTCATACAATAACCCACACAACTTCAGAATAAAGGCAAGATAATGTGAGGGTTGAATAGGCTATATTAAGACTGACAGTGCAAAGATATGAATAATCACAGAATAATTGGAACCAGAGAATAATGGCACATGCACACACACACACATTCACATTTGCGCACGCACAGTCACAAACAAGTCAAGTCACTTTTATTTATATAGCACTTTTTACAATACAGATGGTTTCAAATCAGCTTTACAGAGCTAACAGGAAAATAATGCAACAAAGTTTGTTTCTAGTAGAAAATAGCATCGCAGTCCAGCTTGAGTAAGTTCTGTGATGGTTTATTTTTGTTGTAAAAAGTTATTAATTTAGTTCATTTATATATATAGCGGCTCTGGAGAAAAGTGCGATGTCATTGTCCAGTTCTCATTTAATGGTGTCAATGCAGGCAGATCAATAATATTATTGAATATTAAATTAAATGTCCCCAACTAAGGAAGCCAAAAGCCAAAGGTGACAAAAACAAAATATAATCACATTTATAATTCCACTTTCAATACAAAAATGGTAAATATGCATCAATATAGGTGCGTTTCTGACACATTTAAAGGTGTCTATTAGATGACGAACAAACAACAGCGCCTGCCATTGAAGAAAATAAATATTCTCTACTGCTGTAATTATTTAAGGCATTTAAATCACACTGACAAATTCTATTCATGTTAATTAAGCTATCTGAACTCAAGATAAAGGATTTTAGGAGTTTGAGAAGTATATTTAAACCTGATTTAAACCTAGTTTTAAATTTGGAATAGCATATAGCCTAGCATACTACTCTTACTATTTCTGCCATATGGCAGTATGCTAGCAAACAAGTATGGAAGAAGTATGCAGTATGCAGTTCTGAATTCTACCACAGTCCCATCCAACCTGTCTCCAACTAATTAGTTAATGCAGATCAGCTGAGTGATGGTGATAACTAGGAAGTCCCAAACACTGCTGGTTTCTAGTGAGCTGGCAGTCAGTCATATGTTAGGAAACCTGGTGAGATTCACTAATTATAACTGTAGGAAACAAACACCAGTTTAAGCACACATGATAACTTGTTTGTAATGTATTTATAGAAAATAGAAAATAGTTAGTGTTAGCGAAGTGTCATTCACCGCTAAAGAGAGGACTACAAATCCATATTAAATTAGGACCGGTGAACTCCACTGACTCGGCTATAGATTTCTTTCTATCGGCCTTTCTTCTCCCAGTTTCTCATGGCCCTGAAGCTGAAACGAAGGCGAGAATTAAGCACGCTGAGGACAGAGGAGAGCAGAGCACGTTGGAGATTGACCATCATAACCGTGTGCTGTGTGCTAGTCATACTGGCAACCTTGATAGTGGGGTTGTACTTTAGTAAGAATCTGTTGCATGCCTTTCTGCTTTCTCTCTTATCTTTATTTTTCCTCTATTTTACCTAATGCTACATGACAATCTTTTCCTTACTTTGACTGCTAAATATAAAGCTGCCTTGCAAAAAACAAAAGTTCTCTGTTTGCAGCCATTAGGACAGTGAATAGCAAGTTTTTCTTCTGCTCTGGCTCAATGAGGTTCATTTCAATAGCGAAGGCATGTGATGGCATGGCTGACTGCTCAGGTGGTGAGGACGAGATCGCATGTATATCCAAACTGCGGACCAATGGCACGTATCCAGGTGATTATGCACACATACACTCTTAAAAATAAAGGTTCCAAAAGGTTTTTGTTGTTGTTGCAGTGAATGCCTAGAACAACCATTTGGGATCTTAAAATAATCATATATTTCTTAGTATGGAAATGTAGTGTCTTCATGGAGCTATAGATAAAGAACCTTTATTTTTACACCACTTTTGAGAGATGTTTACCGTTTACTTCAGTATACTAGACTAGAGATCCACATGTAGGAGAACATGTGATTTATCTGTATTTACCTAGTGAGGCTGATGGGGGACAGACTGGTCCTGCAGGTGTTCATTAATGAGGGGGGATGGAGAACAGTGTGTGCTGAGAACTGGAGGACAAAGCACACGCGCTTAACCTGTCAACAACTGGGCTATACAGCGTAAGCATGCATGGCACAGTGGTTATTAACTGATGATCAGTAGTAAATAAAGCTGTTAAACCTCAGGCAAGTGCTTAAAAACAAAGCAAAATATTTCACTACATTACAGGAGTCCCCGAAGTACACGAGTCCCGGTGAAGAGTCTGCTCTTCAACCCTCACAATGCATTTGCTACAGTCAGCAATGACTCAACAAACTCTGACATCCAGAGTTTCCTCTCAGTCAGGTGAGATACACTGAGTAAAGTCATTTGTGATAATTCTATGTGGGAAATACATTCCGTTTACATGCAGTATAGAAATAATTATGCTCTCTCTCACAGTGATAAATGTTCAGTTGGCTCAGTGGTGTCTGTGTCTTGCTCAGGTAAGACTGACTGTAGTGTGTGTTTGTGGATCAGGTTTTGTGTACTAAAGGGTTAGGCAAAATTCACGATATTACAAATTTGGCTCCCTTTTAATTCATGAGCTAGAATTGAATTTGCCACAGCACACAGGAGGATAGGAAGTGGAATTTACAATTGAGTGAAATTCAAGACGATCAAAAATCTATCTGTATATAAAGCTTATAAAATATAACTTCAAGGCCTTTAAAATTGTTTTTGAAAAGTCACCCAGCATTTAAAGCTTTTTTGACGACACTTTATTTCAAATCATGTTTAATTGTACTTAATTTAATTCTAATTTGAATGACAATTTTAGTCCAAGATTTCTTTTTAAATTCAAATTCAGGCATTAGTAAGCATACTAATATCGTTTGTGCATGTGTCTGAGTCTGGTTACTATAAACGTGTCTGCTGTGCTTATGCAGACTGTGGGGAGGTGGAGGGAGAGGACCGTATTGTTAATGGGGAGGACACAGCAATCGAACACTGGCCATGGCAGGTTAGTCTTCAATGGAACCACCAGCACATGTGTGGAGGAGCATTACTGTCCACGCAATGGATTATTTCAGCTGCTCACTGTTTTACAAGGTGAGTCATTCACAAATGGAACGCGTGTCCTAGGACAGAATTTCAGTCAGCATTTGACTCCCAGTTAATGGAGTTTTTCCATTTAAATCACTCTATTGACTGGCGAAATGTCTTAAATGGGTAAACCTGTAACGGTTGCTTTTGAATAAAATTCTTCTCTTTACAATAACAGAACACACTTTTACCCGTTTAAATGTATGACAGTTGGTCCACTTGGGTGTTATTTTGTCTTGCTGTCTCTCTCTCTCACACGCACACAAACTCTAAGCCGGACACGAGAGCTGAGTCGATGGACTGTGGTGTTAGGTCAGACCCAAGTGACGGCATCCAGGGGTGTCAGTGTAGAGATGATTGTGATCCACAAGGACTACAGCCGCTTGAGTAACGACTTTGACATCGCCATGCTAAAACTCACCTGGCCTGTCACAACTGGGGGTACAGTACTTATCCGTTCTGTTGACCTCGCTTAATACTATATTCATTGGGTAGTTCACCCCATTCAATGACACTTTTTTTCATTCAATGACAGTTCATAGTGATCACCATATAGTGTTATATATATATATATATATAATGTATGTAGCCAACATTTGAAGTGGATCACAAAAGTTAATCAAAGTTGTCATAAGATGAGAACGGGTGTTCAAAATTCATGTATAACTGATGAAAGGTTTTGATCCACTTCAAATGTTGACTACTGTATTATAATGGCACACAGATTTAAAAAGACACGGGCAAGTACATTTGAATATATGTATGAACTATTTGCAAAATTTGATGCAAAAAATATGAAAGGTTCACTTGCATTTAGTTTTTGGTTATTTTCAACTTGAGAAGCTTCACTGTCTCATTAGCATCCTACTCTAAGGCATCATTGTCAGTGGTTAGTAAAGTCAGAGTGGTTGTGAGGTCTATCATAAGAAAAAAGTCCCAAATAAATGTCATTGGCTAAAGCTTGTTCTCTGTCTGCCCTTAGAATTGATCTTGCCAGTTTGTTTACCCCCACACCAGTTGTCTGTGAAGGAGATGCTTGTGGTGACTGGGTGGGGATTGCTAAAGGAAAAAGGTAAGATGAAAAGGGTTTGTTGTCACTTAATGGCTAATTTGCAACTCTAAGGCAGGACTGTGACCTTCTACCTATTTCAAATTAGCAGTCCACCTCTTCGGTTTCTCCCACACCCTCTATATTGTTTTGTCTCTGGCATTTCCTCATTTTCATAGGGGGGCATCCCTCGGTGCTGCAGAAAGCTTCAGTGCCACTGATTGACCGGTCCGAGTGTTCAAAGCCCTCTGTTTATGGTTCCGCCATTACTCGCAGAATGCTTTGTGCTGGATTCCTCGAAGGAAATATAGATGCGTGTCAGGTAACACAAAATGAAAAAAATCAGGCTATATATATTTCATAGTCTGTGTACCCAGATACAATTTAAAGAATTTCAAAATGGAATAGTCATTTTAAAATATTCACTCTTTTTCAGGGGGACAGTGGGGGTCCACTCGTGTACCTTTCATCTCGTTGGCAGTTATTGGGCATAGTGAGCTGGGGTGTGGGCTGTGCACGGGAGGGAAAACCCGGAGTTTACACTGATGTTAGTCAACTTCTTGACTGGATCTACACCGTAATGGAGGTATGTGTCATGTGATTGTGCAAATTAATATATAAGAAATCAATCTTATTCAAGATCAACTGTCATGTTTTAGAGACATCCATGAGGAGGTGAATCCTGGATGAATCACTTCATGCTATCGTGCAACAAAGGAGAAAAGACAATCATCTAAGAGTGTCAAAACCGAAATCAGTGTTAGTGAATCTAGGTATCATTCAATTTTATAATTAATTTGATGTTCAATTTGACATAAGTATGGTCAAAACATATGCTTTTTATTTTAATCACACTTGTTCACTGGAAGTATAGCAATATGGCAATTTTCCAGTTAGTCTGCTGTATGTTCACTGTAAAGCAATTAAAATACTGTAAATGTTTTAACTTTTTTTTTTTTTTTACCAAAAGCATGTAGAAGGCAAAAAATAAATAATAAAACTTGATGCATTTACCAATCCATCACATTTATTTTATCCAAAACATTTTTTGTAGCTTATAATAAAGGAATATAATAGGCCTGCACACTGGCTTGAGGAAACAATGGGATCAAGAATTCTGGATTATGCTCTGAGTGGAGCCTCTATGATATAGCATGCGTTGTTTTACATTCAGTTTTGGCAGGTACTGATGTCAAACAATGTCTACTGTCTGAGTTTTAAATTAATTAAAAATTGAGTATCGGGATTGCAAATTCTCCAATTGCTGACTCTGAGGCCTCTATTCCCATTGGTCTTACATTTGTGTTAACAGTCTGATTTAGCTGGGTATTCATAAAGCATTGAATGTTTCTGATCCAGCTTTCAAAAAAACATAGCTGCAGTGGCACTCCGATGCTTTAATAACATTTGTAGTTTGCACACAAATTACTTTACTGTAAATAACAATTTACAGAAGTTGTACATTCACGATATAATTTAAAAATATAATAAAATCAGCAATCAACCTTTTAATGTTTCTCCTACGTCTTCAATTGCTTAGTCTCTGGCATTCCCTTATTCTGATTTTCCACATGGTGAGCTGCAGAAAGCTTTACAGAATCCAGTTTAGAATCACAGTTTGTGCGAACCGACGCACCAAACATGAAGATATGGATGTTGGCTACATGAAATGGGTGTTTGAGGTATTGGACAGAAACATTACACATTAACAGAGAAATACAACTTAACTTAAAAAAAAAAAAAGAAATTCACTAGAAGTTCTCATATGATGTGGTATTAGCCTGTGGTTTAGTTGAAAAAAATGTGTAACTATCACAATTAGGTCATGACCTCTGCCAAGCCGGATAAATAATAGCTAATCCAACTGATGTTGTCAATTCAATTGTGAATTAATAAAGGGAATAAAAAGATGGAGAGTGGAATAATATTAATTAAAAGCCCAAAATATTTAAGCCTAATGTCAAGCAGAATGCCAAACTATTTCACTTAACCCGAGAAATATAAAAATTTAGCACAATATGGTGAAAATATTTCTGAATAAGAGGTAGTACAAGTGCTTTGAAAATTTATGGATGTACCTTCTCAATATTTCTCCTATTAAAAGAAGCTAAAGAGCTCTCTGAATGTGTATTGCTTTACTGACCTGTGTGCCATCACAAGATAATAAAAAAAACTTGAGGATCAAAATTTAAATAAAAGACAGTGCAGTCTCAATATATGCCAGAAGTTATCCACTTATTCAATGCACAGCTGATTCAAGTGTCATTGCAGCCAGTGCAATGACACTATCACAACTTGAAAAGTTGAAAGTTGAGCCCTGACTCAACTACATAAGTTTTTATAATGCCTACATTCAAGTGACCCAAACATAATTACAATCATTTCAACTACACTACAATTTAAAATAAATTAAAAATACTATAAAGAAAATACTTGCTATTTCCATAGACATTTAGTGATGTTACAGAGGGGTATGATAGGAGAGCTACTGGGTATACAGTATACATTGCTTTGTTTTCTTTTTTTCAGGTCCAAATTCAGTATAAATTTACAAGATTTCTCAGAGACTGATTTTGCACACTATAGTTATAATAAATCTACAAGAAATTGTTAAACTGTAACAACCTCTGACTAACTGTTTATCTGGAGTTAACTACTTTTGGCACTGAAAGGAAGGAAGACTTACTGCATGATAATTTTATGACCAACATCACCCAGGATTCACAGTAAAATTCCTCAATAATTGCATCCAAAGACCTGTAAAATTATTCAAGTATTCAGTAATAATGGGTGTACCTATAAGGAGAGCTCTCAGTAAATTTGTTTTATTATCCTTTACTTTTTACCAACTTGCTTACTTTCATCTCTAAATATAAAATGTAACCAAAAGACGTAACATTTCTTTTTATATGCAGGATCATTTGCTATCTGTCTTTTAGAGGTGACATTTTCTGTTTTATACAGCAGCTCTGTAGTTTCAAGAACAGATTATTGGTGAATTTTAATTATTATTCTTAATTTCACTTCTGATCAAATGAACAGACCTCACCTCACCAGACTTGCTTGACGTCAGTCCCTTTTCTGGTCTCCACTGAACTCCCTGAATCCCTCAAGCGAAAGTTTGAAATGCTTATTAGCTAAACTTCTGAAAACCAGCGAGACTTATATCCAGTCATGTCTCGGTAGGCCTACTTAAATCTATATTTACATCATGTATACTATCATTATTGTTTTGCATGACTGTATGATGATGAGTTTATTGCCTTTAAATATTGCATTTTCATGATGTCATAGGGTGAGTTGCATGGTTTACAGTTCACAGTATGTCTGTTTGCATTAAAAGGTTATATTTATATTTTTTTCCTTTTTGGTAATCATATTTTGTTTTGCATGGAAATTCACCAAGCTATTTTCAGTTTCAAAGCTGATGTTAATTCTGTTCAGTATGTGACAATTTGTTTCAATATTTCAATAAAAAAGCATTACATATAATATTTCTACTGTTATAGTCAGCCATGTATCCCTAAAACGTCTGGCCATTTAACATGCTATAATGCATTGAAAATTATCTGAAGCAGCATTTTCAGTGTTTCATTCTGGGTTTTCTCTAAGGGGATATTGATTTCTACAGATTGTCAAGTATCATTCATTAGCTTGTATTTACTAACTATTTGGTGACTTTTGCAATTTTGCAGCCTTTTTTTTTTTTTTTGCATCATAATGTTCTGCATTGATTCAGTCGTCCTTGCCAAAAGGGGGCAAGAGAAGCATTAACAGGCACCTGTGTTTCATTTTCAAGCAAAAACGGTAATGAGTTTTATTTAGAACTGGACTCTAGACTGCTACAATAAGGCCTATTTTAATTTTATACTAATAAGCCTCCTTCCATGTTTATTATAATCAGATTTCTGCTGATTTTTTATTTATTTTTTCTCTATTCAGAAGTACTGCATTAAAACATGCAGTTTTTTTTAAATCTGCTCTGAGAGTCTGTCAGTGAAACAATACAAATCACTAGTGTCCTCTCAAAATATTTCCTTCAAATTGTTGCATAATTGATCTTTCTACAACATATATTTAGGTTGGTGGCCATTTGACAAACAAGACTGGATTTGTATTTACACAAGGATTTACAATAAAAATCCATAGACCTTTGCTCTAAACTTGTGCTAAACAAAACTTAATCCCCAAACAGTAGCTCAGAAGTGTTGCCTCACTTGTACTCATTTCTTAACTATTTTAGTCAGGCACCTACACGTGAGGCCGGGGGCCCTTCACAGTTTTACAGTCCAGTTCAATTAACTAAATGAATAGCATAGCTAAATTTATCCCTGTCTTAAGCATTGTTTGAAGAAAATATTACATTTTTCTATCATAAGAATAAATACATCCCACAGTGTGGGTCAATGAACTAAAGTGCATGAGGCTGCATGTGGTGCATATTTAACTGCATAAATAAATGTAAATATATGCAGAAATACATAATGCCCCTCTTTTCATTCATAACCGTGTTTATGAGTCAACTAAATGCTTAAAATGAGCCATGTGAATATCATCCATGGATATGTTACGAATGAAAATCTTTACAATTTGTTTAACACTATGTCTTTATGATGAAAACAGAAGTGTAGCATTTGTAAACACGGATGCGAATGAACAGAGAGGGCACAGCATGATGGCTGATCCATGTTTTCACGTGCATGTGTGACCATGTTTCGATGCACGCTGTCATGCTTTCTTTGGTGTAGATTTGGAGCCCGACAGACCGTTCTCCGTGTTATCAATCCCTGAGGAGGTGACAAGGCACTCCTTACTGAAAAAGACAAAGAAAGAAATAAACAGAATGAGAGGGAGATCATGTTTAGATCATATATTTACACAGAATACTAATAATAATTAACAATATAATATTATTATATTACATATCAAATATTTTGTAATTCATGAATAATTTAGCTTTTTTATTTAAAATATTGTCAGGCAGTATTTATTTGTTTAGTCTCTACTTTTTGCTAATTTGGCACAAACAATTTCAACGACATGGTCAAAATCTGGTAAATGTCATACTTAAAAAGGGCATAGGTACTCATAGTCTTTCTTACGTGTACATACTAAAGGCTGCCATGAACTCACTTTTTTTCCTCAATCTTTGCGAGAACGAACAGAGTGAAGTTCTTTATCAGCATGAAGGCCATTAAAAAAGCGATGGATCCACCAACACAGGAGGCAATGATAATGGTGAGCGTGTTATCAACCACCCTTACTGAGAGGAGTATCCAGAGAATAAGACAAAAAGAAAGAGAGAATGAGAAAAGAAGCAGTTATTTTAATAATGACCTTGAAATGTAACGTGCATATATCATTCTCTTTCTGTAACTCCCTCTCTCCCCACCCTGCTACACTTACGTTCCTCTACTACGTATAGAGTGAAAAAGGCGGTGTGATTCTTGCCCTTCTCTTTGGGGTTTTTGCCAAAGCAGCTGTAGACGCCAGCATCCTCGAATGTTACGTTCCAAAGCAGTATGGAGATGTTGTTTCCTTTACTGGTGCCAACATACTCCACCCTTTCACGGTAAATGATCACCTTATTTGGGTCCACATGATCCGTTGGAATCACAGAATCAGCCAACTGATTGGAAAACAGAACTCTTTAGTTATAAATGTTAAATTAGCAAATGTTAAGTTACACTTACACACTTAAACTTACACTGGCTCATACACTGTATTTTTGTCTTTGACACTGTCAGTTCTAATGCAGTGCACATTTATATCCTATAAATTGTATTACTCTGTTTTACAATATCCTTAACTTTGATTGTTAGAACATGATTTTACAGCAAGAAAAGGCACAGATGTTTTGAAGACTCGATGCCATTTAGCCTATAGGCTATACATGATCTTTGATACTTGAATGGACACTTGCAGTGTGCTGCACATAATTTGCCACTGAGAAACAACATCAAGTCAATCCATGATTTCCACCTCAAGTGTCCTTGAAGGCATACAAAACCAGCTCAAGAATAAGTGAGGCTTTCTATTTATATTTCCATCCAATCAATGTTAAACTTACATCACTGACAGTAACTCATTTGAAAATTATATTTTGGATGGTTCTTAGAAGTAAACAGAAGTCGGATACAACGTGAAAAGTGCCTTGCTGCATTGACTACGTTTACATGCAGCCAATTTTCGGGTTATGGTCGGGTTAAGGTCACTATTCGGGTTTCTGAAACATTAGGAATAACCCGTTTACATGCGTGAGCAGAGAGAGTTTCTCCTGTATACATGGAATTGCAATATCCCGATGTAAACGGCGACGCACGGTTAGCGTCAAGATGTACGGACAACCTTAAGACGCAATATGCGTCATTTCCGATTCTTCTTCCTGTATCCAAAGACAACAACAACAGCAGCAGCACGCGGATAATGAATAGTTTGGGGCAGATAGCGATCGCCTTTGTTTGCGCTTTGGTGCTGGTACTGACCTCGCTCCAAAAGTATGCTGTGCTGTGTCTCGCCATGTTTACTTCCGGTATACTGCACGCGGGTTTTTGTATGCGCTGAGAAGTTCCTCTACTCAAAAGACCAAGATTCCTTGCGAATAGAACATGCGCAGAACACAAATCACTATGGGGATATGCCGATGCGCGTTTACATGACCAAAATTCGGGTTAGAAAAGGGGTACCCCAGGTATCATATCCCGGTTTTTAAAATCCGGGATATGAGCATATTCGGGTTTTTGCAGGTGTTTACATGGCCGTGCGCGACCGGGTTATTGCTAATATTCCGGTTTTGAACGGGTTATTGGCTGCATGTAAACGTAGTAACTGTGTCATATATAACAGATTAGTACGCGCGTTAGATATGTAAATGATGCACATTCAGCAGGTAATTATCGCTAAAATAAATCCGCTCCGATCCATTTTCCATCTTATTAGCTACACGGCTGCTTACCAAATATATAAATAGGCCTAGGTTGACATGACATATTGATTTGAGTGTGAAATATTTGATCATTTTACCTACATTATCTTAAAGTTTCTGCTAAGAATTACAATATTACAATAAAACAATCACAAGACGAACACTGCAACAATATCAACAGTAATTGCCTACTAGTCCCCTGAGATCTTTGTCACTTCAATCGATTAGACGCAAGATGGCGCCAGCTGCGTTTGTATGAACATGTACAAAGGCGTTCACGTGATCAGTGTCAAAAATCGACTTTGATTAGTGAGCAACAAATAGTGCATACTTTTTTTCTCCTAAAACTTTATTTTCAGGTTTAAAATTAGATTACATTTTCAATGGGGTATCAGATTTTTAAACTCCAAATAAAGTTTGTTGTAGTAGCCCAATATTAAACATTTTAGTTATGTTTGTGTGGCGATATGTTCAATTCTATTCTGTTCTATTCTATGCCAATTATTTGCAAGTGTGTCTGATGTTATGCTATACATTAACAGTGGAATAGAGTATTACAGTAGGCCTAGGCTATCTATCCCATGATTATTGAACAAAATATCTGTTAGCCTACCTTCTGCATGGTGCCATTATCATTGAACTCCCATTTGAAGTAGAGGTTAGTGATCCCAATACAGCTGGCATAGGTGCAGGGCAGAAGGACTGTGCTGCCGTTCACTGCTTCCAAAAACGGGATCTTACCAGTAGACATCTCCAGAGCATGAACGCAACACACACCTCAAACAGGAAGAGAAAGCAGATAAGGGAAACTGAAATGAAATATTCATAGTTGTGTTGTCAGTAAAACCATAAGAGAGAGAAGCAACTCTGGTTAGTCAAGGTCAGTAAGATATTATAATGACAAGCTGACATGTGCACTGATTAAAATACAGTATAAATAAAATAAATATACCGTATAATAGCCTACAACCATTCTCTCACATGCACAAAGGCGATTCTTTCATTGAACTGATGTTTTTTCTCATGAATCATGAGATCATCTCATTGTTTTACCCCGACAACCTTCTTGTTACCAGCCCTAGATGTTTAACACAATGCCAAACTGTAATAATAGTCAAATTAGTACATAACACTAATAAATTCATAAACACATTAATAAAGAAAATTAATTAGACTATTTTATGTAAAATAGACAAACATCTATAGTACTAGACTGCAGATAAACAGACATCCTTCACATAACAAGGACAGTTGAATAGTTCTGTAAGGTGTTTAGTTTTCTACACTGTAAAATCTAACAGTTCTTCTAACTAATACTTTTTAGTTAACTTTACTTAATGTCTTAACTTAATTGTAATATAGTAATAATCTGTAATATTCACATAATATGCCTTGGTTACTCTGAAAACCCAAGTGAAGATTAATTGATTGGTTTGAGTGCCATTTTGTCAAGGAAAAAAGAAAAAAGTTTTTGAGGCGGGGCATTTTCATCCACTTCTGCAGTTATCTTAATTCACTCATTTCCCAAAGTCATCTTGAATGTTGAATTGTCAATACAACTGAAAATTTTGAGAGAACATCACATAAGCTGACTTCATAAACTGATGTTGATTTTCCTAAATGTTTTTGTTTTAACTCACCATTATGGTGATTCGTGTTCCATTTGGTTGGGCACAACTTCATTTATATTATTGTAATTCTCTTTCTCTGATTCAGTGATATAACACGAAATCACAGTTATTTGGTTTTAACCCTTGTGCATTGTTCAAATTCACTACCCTTTCGTTGTGTTCGTGGCTGAAAACAGCCACTTTAAACTGCTGTAAAAATGTATCAGATAAATATTGTTTTCAAATTTTTTCGCATAAAGCTATTAATCAACCTCAGTCCTGATCAAAACTACTAAATGTTAAAAAAAAAAAAATCAGGATTTGAACTCTTTAATTGCCAAATTCATAAATGATGTCACTGATTTGGGGGGAAAACACACACAAAATGACTTATTTTCAATATAAAATGTGATTGTGGACTGGATTTTTTTTATACCTTTTATCACAGTCTTGGACATGTCAAAGATTAGAAACAACATTGGTTCTGATGCATTGTTAGTTCTCTTACGAGAGTATCTCTCGTACTGCGTAATATCTTACGCTATGGGGAAAACCTCTTTTCCACGAGATATTGAAGCCAAAAATTATCCTTAATTTTGAATTAATGTAAAACGCTGTGCAGCAGCATGCAGACATAGGCTGGACGGCTCGCGCGCTTATTGGCTGCCCTGCTGCAACAGCAGCAGCCTATCGAGAGAGGCGCTGCGTGACACCATATCCAATGGGGGCATTTCGCGCCCATTTCGTCACGTCCCGCCAGAAAGGGCGTGGTCTCGCCCTATAAATATAGCTCGATAAGGCTGGTACACTGATTTTCATCTCTTCAGCGAAGCCTCTCGCATCGCTGGATCCGGAGTGAGAAGCCGCGCCGTCGACGCAAGCCTTTCAGCGGTACGAGCTTCTGGAGTCGCTGGCCTCGCCGCCTTCAACTGCCGTACCTGCTGCGCTTTCCGGCGTACTATATATCCTTTACTCTGCTCTGTGTGTATGTGTGTGTGTGTGTGTGCTCGCCCCGCGACTCACACTTCTATCATCTAAAAGAGCCGCGTCTTTGTAAAGATGCCATCCTCCTGTGGCTCGTGCCGAGCCACATTCAGCGACGGGGACCGCCATGTGATGTGTTTCCTGCCTGTGAGAGGATCATGCAGCTCTCGCGCTCGCCGACGGCGGCTGCCCTCACTGCGAGCTATTGCCTACGGTGACTCTGAGGACTCGCCTGGCATCCTTCAGCGAGACTGCACTTCCACCCGCTGCAGTGCCGCGCCGTAAAAAAGTGCCGTACTCAGCGGGTCCCCGAGCCTTCTCCAGCCCGTGAAAGCTCGCCGGTTCGCCTGCCAGCTTCACCAGCTTCACTCGAGTCGCTCACTGACGGATAACGGCCGCCGCTTCCGCCATTAATGACGACGAGATAGCTGCATCTGTAGAGGAGACCTGCTGCTCTATCCTGGCGTCGGACAGTGAGGACTGGGCGAGCTCTGTGGACCTCCCCCTTCTGTCCGCGAGTCGTCAGGGAAACGGGCCAGCATCAAGACCGCGAGCTAAAACCGCGGCTAGCTTTCTTTACGTTATAAGAAATCTACCCCGCCCCCCATGGGCGTGCGTCACCGGCAAAATGAGAAAAGAGTGTGTTTTAGTCCCCGCCGAGGCCGGACTAATCTCCATTTCTCAAACATTTCTCAGCTCCTAGTTTGAGCGGTTGAAAATGTCATTATTGCAGCAATGAGCCTGTTGTATAACACGCACACCTGCATACAAACGCCGACACACACAAAACTATGATGACACTCTCTTATCTGCTTGCACTAATGTAGTTCTCCCTGTGGCTCAGTGGCGGAACCCGAAGCCTTTGCGCGAGAGACCCGTGTTCGATCCCGGCTCTCGCAGCAGATAAAAATTTAGTCTCGCCGCGGCCAGACTTCTACCGAAACTTTTCGCTCGTTCAGTTCCAGAAAATGCGACTGTTCCAGTGTATTTTGCAGTAAACAAGCTGGTACCACGGCCCGCTTGCCTGCACATAAAGGCCGTTTCCACGGCGACCCAGAAAAATCATGTAATCATTGTATTTCTGGTTTTCCGGCCACAGCCGATGGTGTTATAAGTGTAATAAAATGCTCACAGCCCAGTGTTCATTTCTACACACAAACACAGCCCGCCACGGTACAGGGCTTGCACAAATGAAATCGACGCATGTCAATTGTGCATTAAATGTAGTGAATGTGCCCACAACCCAGTGCCCACAAACACTACCACAGTTTCTGTAAAACGAAACCAACACAAGTCTTCCTAGCCTCCTAGGAAATCGACGGTGTTTCAGTCTTGCCGCGGCCAGACTTCCACTGAAATTTTCGCTCGTTCAGTTCCAGAAAATGTGACTGTTCCAGTGTATTTTGCAGTAAGCAAGCCAGTACCATGCCCGCTTGCCTGCACACAAATGCTGTTCCCACGGCGACCCAGATAAATCACATAAACGGTGTATTTTCTGGTATTCCGGCCACAGCCGATGGTGTTATGAGTGTAATAAAAATGCCCACAACCCAGGGCTCATTTCTACACACAAACACAGCCCGCAAAAATGCAGGGCTCGCACAAACAAAATGGCCTCATGTCGATTGTGCACTAAATGTAGTGAATGTGCCTACGTCTCAGTGCCCACAAACACTACACACCACATGTCCCACGGGTTCTGTAAAAACGAAACCAACACGCATTCAGTCAGCTCAGGCCGACGGTGTTTTTCAGTGCAGTAAATGTGCCCGCTGTCCTGCGCCCACATTCACTCACAGACATGTTAAGCCCCACGGGGCTCGCCCCGCTCTCTCTCCCTCAGCAAACTGCTATAAGGGTTTTGAGCGCGGCCAGGCTGCCCGCCGCGATCGGCGCGCCCCCCGCCTCACACACTGTAAACACAGTGTCTGCGTTACAGCACGCCGGAGCTCCCTTGTCGTCACTATGTCACGGCCAGAGCCCAGATCTCATTCTACCGCTAGCTATTCACGCGAAAGTGTGGGCACAGCTTCCTGGGGTATCAGAATGGGTGCTGAACACTATAAAAAGAGGCTATTCGCTACAGTTCGTTCGACGTCCCCGCCGTTATACGGCGCACGTCGAGACGACAGTGAAAAACGAAGTATTTCATCTACTTCGAGCCGAGATAGCGAAACTACTGAGCAAAGGTGCTATAGAACCTTTATCTCAAGCTCAGAGCAAAGGGGGCCTACACAGCAGATATTTTCTGGTACCGAAAAAAGATGGAGGTCTCAGACCCATTTTAGATCTGCGACAGCTGAACAGAGCGCTTGTGAAGCACCAGTTCAGAATGCTTACAACCAGGAAAATCCTCGCGCAAGTTTGCCAAGAGGACTGGTTTATGTCAATAGATCTGAAAGACGCCTATTTCCAGATACAAATAGCGTCCCATCACAGGTGATTCTTGAGATTCGCCTTTGAGGGCCAGGCATATCAATACACAGTCCTGCCGTTCGGCCTGTCCCCAGCACCCCGTACATTCACGAAGTGCATGGACGCGGTTCTCGCACCCCTGAGACTCCGGGGCATGCGAGTTTTGAACTACTTGGACGATTGGCTGATTCTAGCTCGATCTCACTCAGAGCTCATAGAACACAGGGCCACATTACTCGAGCACCTCGAGAATCTGGGCCTCACAGTCAATCGGGCGAAGAGCTCACTGTCCCCCAGTCAGAAAATTTCTTTCTGGGTACAGTGCTGGACTCGCGATCCATGACAGCACGCCTGTCATCGGAGCGCGGACTAGACATTCAGCGCGTCGCGAAATCCTTCCGCCACGGCTCTATAGTCCCGCTCAAAAGGTTTCAGAAAATGCTGGGCCTGATGGCCTCAGCAGCCTCTGTGCTCCAGCTGGGCCTGCTTCACATGCGCCCACTGCAGATGTGGCTGAAAGCGCGAGTTCCGCCCTGGGCACGGACCGCTGGTCTGTTTCGCCTCAGGGTCGATCTAAAGTGCGTTTTCAGCTCTGAAACCTTGGAAAGTAACCGACTGGTGTCAGTCAGGTGTGAGTCTGGGGACCGCCTCGAGTGTGCAGGTGGTGTCTACGGACACCTCCACCTCGGGATGGGGAGCGCTGCTCAAGGGCAGACCGTTCGCTGGCCTGTGGTCAGAACGGGAAAGGCTCCTTCACATAAACTGCTT